TGTGTGTGTGTGTGTGTCTCTCTCTCTCTGTGTCTGTGTGTCTCTGTCTGTCTGTGTGTCTCTCTGTGTGTGTGTGTCTGTCTCTGTGTGTGTGTGTGTGTGTGTGTGTCTCTCTCTCTCTCTCTGTGTGTGTGTGTGTGTCTCTCTCTCTCTGTGTGTGTGTGTGTGTCTCTCTCTCTCTGTGTGTGTGTGTGTGTCTCTCTCTCTCTGTGTGTGTGTGTGTGTCTCTCTCTCTCTGTGTGTGTGTGTGTGTCTCTCTCTCTCTGTGTGTGTGTGTGTGTCTCTCTCTCTCTGTGTGTGTGTGTGTGTCTCTCTCTCTCTGTGTGTGTGTGTGTGTCTCTCTCTCTCTGTGTGTGTGTGTGTGTCTCTCTCTCTCTGTGTGTGTGTGTGTGTCTCTCTCTCTCTGTGTGTGTGTGTGTGTGTGTGTGTAGCGCACTCATGACAGGAAGGACATGTATAATCTGAATGAGGAAGAGGAGCTGACCCATTACGGCCAGTCTCTGGCGGAGATGGAGAAGATGAAGGATGTTATTGACAGCGACAGCGACTCTGAGGAGAAGGGCCTGCTGTCAGGTGACTCGTTTAAACACGTTCTCTGAATGCACTGATCATCAGTGTTACGGTCAGTAACTGATGTGGTGATCGTTGTTTCTGCAGCTGAACTGACCGCCACACATTTCGGCGGCGGAGGAGGTTTGCTGAGGAAGAAGAGCGCTGAAGATGAAGAACACAAACCCAAATCACGGCAGGAGCTGATCGAGGAGCTCATCATCAAATCCAAACAGGAAAAGGTCAAAGTGTTTCCTCAAATAATAAAACGTTGCTTTACCGTGATTAACAAAAGCTATAATGACTAGTGATAACTGTAGTGATAGCTATGATGGTTGCAACAATAACTATAGCTGTAACAATAACGATACTTGTAACGCTAGCTATAATGATAGCTGTAACGATAACTATAATGGTAGCGTTAACAATAGTTGTAAGAATTATAATGATAGATATAGTAGCTATAATGACAGCTGTAATGTTAACTATAATGATAGTTGTAATAACAATAACAACATCTTTAATAAGAACTATTAAGATAAATGTATTGATAACATCAGTAAAGATTACTATAACAACAGCTGTAACAATAGCTGTGATGATAAGTATACCGACAACTGTAATAACTTTAACAACATCTGAAACAATAACTATAACATCTATACTGGCACCTGTAACAATAACTTTAACTACAACTGTGATAATGACTATAACATCTGTAACAATAACGACAACTGTAACAATAACTGTAACGATAACTATATAACATCTGTAACAATAACTATAACATCTATACTGGCACCGTAACAATAACTTTAACTACAACTGTGATAATAACTGTAACGATAACTATATAACATCTGTAACAATAACTATAACATCTATACTGGCACCTGTAACAATAACTTTAACTACAACTGTGATAATAACTATAACATCTGTAACCATAACGACAACTGTAACAATAACTGTAACGATAACTATATAACATCTGTAACAAAAACTATACCGACACCTGTAACAATAACTTTAACTACAGCTGTGATAACTATAACATCTGTAACAATAATGACAACTGTAACAATAACTGTAACGATAACTAAAACAACATCTGTGACAATAACTATATAACATCTGTGACAATAACTATATAACATCTGTAATAATAACTATAACATCTGTGACAATAACTAACATCTGTAACAATGACAACTTTAACAATAACTGTAACGATAGCTAAAACAACATCTGTGACAATAACTATATAACATCTGTAACAATAACTATAACATCTGTAACAATAACTATAACATCTGTAACAATAACTATAACAACATCTGTGACAATAACTATATAACATCTGTGACAATAACTATATAACATCTGTGACAATAACTTTAACTACATCTGTGATAATAACTACATCTGTGAGAATAACTATACAGACATGTAACAATAAATCCAGAACCTTCTGGCCCACAAAACCCCCAAAGCAGAGAGGAAGGACGAGACAGACAAACCCAAGGTACTGAAGCACCTGCGTTCAAATACTGATGCTGTTTCTGAGCGTGTGCTGCTGTCCCTCACTCTGACACTGTGTGTGTGTGTGTGTGTGTGTGTGTGTGTGTGTCAGCTGGACGCGTATGACATGACTGCGCGCCTGCAGACTCTGGAGGTACTGAGCTCCTGCTGCCGTACACCTGAGGAGGAGGAGGAAGAGGAAGACCTCACTGATGTGTGTTTGTGTTTCAGGCCAACAGACTGAAGAGGATGATGGGAGACGCTGAGGAAGAGGCTGTTCAGACCAACACACACATCTCTGCTGACGATATGAATGATGGATTCATACTGGACGGAGACGACCGCAAAACACTCGCTTACAAGGTCAGAAACACACACTCACTCACACACACACTATATACACACACACACACACACACACACTCACTCACTCACTCACACAGACACACTATTTACACACACACAGACTCACACACACACACACAATATTTAGCTGTCGATTTAATGTATTATTTAATTTACTTATTTTTTTTATTATGCATTTTGTACATTTTAAATATTAAATGTTTTAAATTTAAGGATTTAATTTATAAAAAAAAGTCATTATGAAAGTACTGTAGAATAATTAAAAATAGTGTTTAGTCAATTATTTTTTTTTAAACTAACTAAATAGCTTTAAATAGCTTTGACTTTTTCATAATTTATAAATTTTACAACATTAACAGTTATTTTCCTGTTTAGTACTGTGAAGCTGCTTTGAAACAACTATTCAGTGATGCACAAAAATGTTGACTTTTTTTGTGTGCAAAAACTGAATATTTAAATGTTGATGTATGTAAATGAGTAACAGACACATGATTCTCTGGCTGCCTGCAGGACGGAAAATGGAACATCGAGGGTGAGGAGGAAGAGAAAGAGGATGATGATGGTGATGAAGAGGGAGGAGAGGAGGAGGACGATGCTGCTGCTAAAGATGTTGATGCTGCTGATGATGATGAGGATGAAGAAGAAGATGATCACTGTGACCTGCAGTCTGATGAGGGCAGTGAGGATGAGGACGGTGAGGGCAGTGAGGATGAGGACGGTGAGGGCGCTGAGGAAGAGCAGGTCTGTGCTGAAGAGCCTCCAGCAGTGAGTGAGGAGCAGAAGAAAGCTGCACAGGAAGCAGCCAGAGCAGAACTGCCCTACACCTTCACAGGTACCACAGTCACATGATCGTCATGATCGTCAGCTGACCTGCCATGTTTGAATAAATCTGCCACGAAAACAAGATTGTTTAGGAGTCAGATATGGAGATAGAATTGTTGCATAATTCCAAATAAATAGATTATGATTCACAGTTTCACAAACATTAATTAAATTCATAAATAAAATGAGATTTGCAAATAAAAAATGTATTCACAAATATATTTTTGTCACAAACACAACATTTCATAATCTATTTGTTTGGAATAATGCATCAATTCCCTCTCCGTAGTCAGAGGTCGGGTTAGGAGATACAGTGGAAGTCTAAGAGATGAGCTCACTAGTGTGTGTGTGTGTGTGTGTGTGTGTTTCAGCTCCAGAGAGCTCCAGTGATCTGAAGGCACTCCTGCAGGATCACGGATCAGAGCAGCAGCGCCTCATTCTGGACAGAACGCTCAAGTGTCACCATCCCAGTCTGGCCGCAGGAAACAAAGCCAAACTACAGGTCAGAGAGAGAGCAGATCAAACCCTGTATCATTCACATGCTACTACAGTGTTTATTAATATTTGCAATTTTATTATTATTATAGTTATTTTTTTTTTATTTACATTTTTATATTTTCTTATTTTAAAGTCAAAGTTTTATTAATATTGAAGGGCGCTGAGGAAGAGCAGGTCTGTGCTGAAGAGCCTCCAGCAGTGAGTGAGTAGCAGAAGAAAGCTGCACAGGAAGCAGCCAGAGCAGAACTGCCCTACACCTTCACAGGTACCACAGTCACATGATCGTCATGATCGTCAGCTGACCTGCCATGTTTGAATAAATCTGCCACGAAAACAAGATTGTTTAGGAGTCAGATATGGAGATAGAATTGTTGCATAATTCCAAATAAATAGATTATGATTCACAGTTTCACAAACATTAATTAAATTCATAAATAAAATGAGATTTGCAAATAAAAAATGTATTCACAAATATATTTTTGTCACAAACACAACATTTCATAATCTATTTGTTTGGAATAATGCATCAATTCCCTCTCCGTAGTCAGAGGTCGGGTTAGGAGATACAGTGGAAGTCTAAGAGATGAGCTCACTAGTGTGTGTGTGTGTGTGTGTGTGTGTTTCAGCTCCAGAGAGCTCCAGTGATCTGAAGGCACTCCTGCAGGATCACGGATCAGAGCAGCAGCGCCTCATTCTGGACAGAACGCTCAAGTGTCACCATCCCAGTCTGGCCGCAGGAAACAAAGCCAAACTACAGGTCAGAGAGAGAGCAGATCAAACCCTGTATCATTCACATGCTACTACAGTGTTTATTAATATTTGCAATTTTATTATTATTATAGTTATTTTTTTTTTATTTACATTTTTATATTTTCTTATTTTAAAGTCAAAGTTTTATTAATATTGATTTTGCCTTTAATTTTAATTTAATTTTAATGAAATGAAAGGCTTTTTATGGTTTTAGTTTGAAAACATCTCAAGTGCTCCAATAGAAGCTGTTTGACCATTTTTGAGTCGGTCAGGATGCTGCCTATGTAGACCCCATCATACAGTGTGCTTAGCGTTTGACACAGAGCCGCTGTGTGTGTGTGTGTGTGTGTGTGTGTGTGAGTGTGTGTGTTAAATGTGATTGTGTTTTATTGTGTTCAGAAGTTGTTCGGTTTTCTGCTGGAGTATGTCGGTGAACTCGCCACCCAGAATCCTCCTGATCTGAGAACCGTCAGCGCACTCGTCCCGTGAGTAACACACACACACACACACTCTCGCTCTCTCTCTCTCTCTCTCTCTCTCTCACTCACACGCACACACACGCGCGCACACACACACACACTCTCTCTCACACGCACACACACGCGCGTGCACACACACACACACACACACACACACACACACAGAGATGACATGAGCTGCCGTGTGTTCATTCGTGTGTGTGTGTTCTGCAGTCAGATCTGCGGTCTGTGTCAGATGTTTCCTGAGGCCGCGTGTAAAGCCGTGCAGACGTTACTCAGCGACTGCAGCCACAGCATGGAGGAGACGCTGGAGGTCAAAGGTCGAGCAGCGATGCCTGATCTGGACATGGTGCGCAGATGGACTGACACAGGAGCACAGATACAGAGACGAGAGGCTGATCCTGAGCTCATCGTGTGTGTGTGTGTGTGTGTGTGTGCAGCTGGTCCTCCTGAAGATCACGGCGCTGTTGTTCCCCACATCAGACTTCAGACATCCGGTGACGACTCCAGCGTTCCTCTACATCAGTCAGGCGCTCACCAGGGTCTGTGTCTGTAATGAGTGGATGGTGCTTTATTTAGTTATACGTTCAGCTTCAGTGCCGCCCACTTTTTCAGCAGCCTTGATTCTAGACGTATTTTTCCTGTATAGTGTTTGAAAAAGTTGTGTTAGCAAACCAGCTAACTACAATCATTATAAACATTATAAACTTTGATTTGAAGCAGAAAAATTGAGAAGACAAACACACAAGACTGTGAACTTAATGAGTTTAATGAGGAAAAGAACTACAATCCCATCAGTGTTATTGATGGAAACTACAACTATTAAAAAAAACTCATTAATTACAATAAAGATGAAATAAAATATACATATTAGATGGAAAACATAAGGTTGAAAAAACCTAAACATTTAAAATGTTGCTTTGGCAACTAACTGAAATAAAGTACTAAAATTACTAAAATGATATAAAAACAAAGCTAAATAGAAATAAACTAATAAAAACATTAAAGCAAATAACAAAACTGCTTCAACTTAAAATGAAAATTAATATGTAACAATAAAACTTTATTCAAAATATTAAATACTGTAATAGTATATAAATAATACTAAAACAACACCATGAAGAATTACAATCAAATTAAAAATGGAAAAATATAAAGCTATTCAATTAAAGTTATTGATTGTATGTAGAAGCAGTATCTTATAAGTTAGTTCAGAAAGTATGCAGATATGTTTGCCCTGTGCTTCATGGGAACGGCAGAGCTGTGATTATTCTCTAGTCTGGATGTTTCTTGGCAGAATCATGGGTAATACAGGAATTCTGCTGTTAAACTTGCTTTTTAAGTTGACATAAAGTGGATTGATGGCTTCAACAAAAGCAAATGCCACTGATTAACTTTGTAGCTCACAGTAGATCTGTGTATTAATGTTTTTTATTAAAGTCACCTTTATTTCTATAGTGCTTTATACAGCTGCTCGGTTATAAACAGACTAATAATTAAGTGTTAATGCTGCAAAATTCATCAGATATGAAGACAATACTCTACAGAAGACAATTGAGGCATTATTCAGATCAGTGCAGCTCTACTTTATCATTACAAATCAGTTCTCTGTGGAGGAAACTAATGTCATTTTTCCCTGCGGAGCTCGACTGTGTTCCTGGTCTGTCCTGATGTGTGTGTGTGTGTGTGTGTGTGTTTCAGTGTGCTGTCGTCTCTCTGGAGGACGTGTGTAAGGGTTTGATCCTCTGCTGTCTAGCGCTGGAATTCGTCTCTCTGTCTCAAAGGTTTTTCCCAGAACTGCTGAACTTCCTGCTGGGGCTCCTGCACCTGACGCTCCCCAACAAACACAACACGGGTACTGCAGAGTGTGTGTGAGTGTGTGAGTGACTGACTGACTGAAGAACTACAATCCCATCAGTGTTATTGATGGAAACTACAACTATTAAAAAAAACTCATTAATTACAATAAAGATGAAATAAAATATACATATTAGATGGAAAACATAAGGTTGAAAAAACCTAAACATTTAAAATGTTGCTTTGGCAACTAACTGAAATAAAGTACTAAAATTACTAAAATGATATAAAAACAAAGCTAAATAGAAATAAACTAATAAAAACATTAAAGCAAATAACAAAACTGCTTCAACTTAAAATGAAAATTAATATGTAACAATAAAACTTTATTCAAAATATTAAATACTGTAATAGTATATAAATAATACTAAAACAACACCATGAACAATTACAATCAAATTAAAAATGGAAAAATATAAAACTATTAAATTAAAGTTATTGATTGTATGTAGAAGCAGTATCTTATAAGTTAGTTCAGAAAGTATGCAGATATGTTTGCCCTGTGCTTCATGGGAACGGCAGAGCTGTGATTATTCTCTAGTCTGGATGTTTCTTGGCAGAATCATGGGTAATACAGGAATTCTGCTGTTAAACTTGCTTTTTAAGTTGACATAAAGTGGATTGATGGCTTCAACAAAAGCAAATGCCACTGATTAACTTTGTAGCTCACAGTAGATCTGTGTATTAATGTTTTTTATTAAAGTCACCTTTATTTCTATAGTGCTTTATACAGCTGCTCGGTTATAAACAGACTAATAATTAAGTGTTAATGCTGCAAAATTCATCAGATATGAAGACAATACTCTACAGAAGACAATTGAGGCATTATTCAGATCAGTGCAGCTCTACTTTATCATTACAAATCAGTTCTCTGTGGAGGAAACTAATGTCATTTTTCCCTGCGGAGCTCGACTGTGTTCCTGGTCTGTCCTGATGTGTGTGTGTGTGTGTGTGTGTGTTTCAGTGTGCTGTCGTCTCTCTGGAGGACGTGTGTAAGGGTTTGATCCTCTGCTGTCTAGCGCTGGAATTCGTCTCTCTGTCTCAAAGGTTTTTCCCAGAACTGCTGAACTTCCTGCTGGGGCTCCTGCACCTGACGCTCCCCAACAAACACAACACGGGTACTGCAGAGTGTGTGTGAGTGTGTGAGTGACTGACTGACTGACTGACTGACTGACTGTGTGTGTATATATGTGTGTGTGTGTGTATATATGAGTGTGTGTGTATGAGTGTGTTTGTGTGAGAGTGTGTGTTTGTGTGAGAGTGTGTGTGTGTGTGTGTATGAGTGTGTTTGTGTGGAGTGTGTTGACATGAGCAGTAAGAATCTGTGTCTATGGTGTGATCTGGTGTGTCGGGGTGGAGTGTCACGTCTGCCTCTGATGTGAAATTTTCTACATTCTCAAGCGTCCAGTGAGATTTTCTGTCATCTGATCAAACATAACGAGCTGCTCATGTGGAAACAGGAAGAGGAATCTGGGTGTTTCCTGTCTGCTCATGTCCATCATCACGAGCGACAGCTGCATTACTGTATTCACACGTTCAGTCTGAGCGGATGTCCATTATGCTCACGTGACCGCGCGTGTTCTGTGTGTGTCTCGTGCTTTCATAAGCACTCATTCTGACCGTTGTGTGTGTGTTTTTAGGTTATACGGTGGTGAGTCCATTCAGACGGCAGGGGAAGAACTGTGATCTGCTGGTTTTGACGGATCCAAGCGCGTCTCACAGCTGGAACAGGAAACCCATTTCACTGCACACAGCTCACAGAATCCCAGCGGAGAGTCCAGTGGAGAGAGACCACTGCAGGTACACACACTCACACACACACAGACACACACTCTCTCACACACACAGACACACACACACACACAATTCAATTCAAATAGCTTT